GTGGTGAGGATTCTGCTTGTCTTGTTGTTATTGTTGCTGTTATTACTGCTGTTGTTGTTGTTGCTGTTGTTGTTGTTGTTGTTGGTGTTGTTGGTGTTCTTGAACTCATTTTTGAAGAACGATAATTGTTTATCCCCCCCGTCCGGTGCACATTATTTTTCTCGATTGAAGTGCCCTTCCCGGGGCTCGCACCCTGTTTTTTTGTCAGGGAAAGCCTTGAGGGTCAAATTGTGTCGTTGGCCCCCGGCTCCCGCCTGAGACCTCCTCACAATTTAGCCAGGACCCCCGCTCCCGCCCGAGACTTCTTGCATTTTATTCGGGAATCGCGCTCTCGCTTGGGACTTCCTTACGATTTATGCAGGAATCGCTCTCCCGGGGCTCTCGAGTCGCGCTCTCGCTGGAGACTTGCTTGCAAATTACTGAAGGATAGCGTCCTTGCGGTGGATTTTTTTGCAATTTATTCAAGCGCCGCGCTCCTGACACCCAGGCACCCAGGAGTCGCGCTCACGTTCAGGACTCCCTCACAGATTACCTAAGAATCGGGATCTCGCTGGCCCCGTTGCAGCCCTTCGTGGCCCACTCGCTTTGTTTCGTGGCCCCGTTGCAGCCCTTCGTGGCCCGCTCGCTGCCCTTCGCGGCCCCGTTGCAGCCCCTCGTGGCCTCCTCGCTGCCCTTCGTGGCCCCGTTGCAGCCCTTCGTGGCTCCCTCGCTTTGTTTCGTGGCCTTTGTGGCCACCTCGCCCTTCGTGGCCCCGTCGCAGTCCTTCGTGGCCCCGTTGCAGCCCTTCGCGGCCCCCTCGCTGCCCTTCGTGGCCCCCTCGCTGCCCTTCGCGGCCCCATATATGTATGCCCTTCGTGGCCCCCGCTCGTTCGCGCCCGTGGTAGCCACATATGCATGCCCTTCGTGGCCCCGCTGTCGCCCTTCGTGGCCCCCTCGCTGCCCTTCGTAGCCCCGTTGCTGCCCTCAGTGGCCCCGTCCTTGCCCTCCGCGGCCCAGTATAGCTATGCCCTTCGTGGCCCCCATTCGTTCGCGCCCGTTGTGGTCCCATGTGCATGCCCTTCGTGGCCCCGCTGTCGCCGTTTGTGGCCCCCTCACTGTCCTACGTGGCCCAGACCTTCAGTGGCCCCGTCGTTGCCTACTGTGGCCCCGCATGATCTGCGCTTCGTGGCCCCCGATCGTTCGCGCCCGTCGTGGCCCCATGCGCATGCCCTTCGTGGCCCCGTTGTCGCCCTTCGTGGCCCCCTTCCTGCCCTTCGTGGCCCCCGCTGTCGCCCTTCGTGGCCCCGTTGCTGCCCTCAGTGGCCCTGTCCTTGCCTTCCGCGGCCAAGTATACGTATGCCCTTCGTGGCCCCCGCTCGTTCGCGCTCTTCGTGGCCCCATACGCATTCCCTTCGTGTCCCCGCTGTCGCCCTTCGTGGCCTACTTCGTGTCCTTGTGGCTCTGCTGTCGTTCTCTCTCGCTTTCGCTCGTCGTCGTCGCCGTCGTCGTCGTCGTCGTCGCCGTCGTCGTCGACGTCGTCGTCGTCGTGGTCGGTCCCCTGTCCGTCCCTGTTGGGGTCGGGTCGACGGTCCGCGGCCGCCCCGCCGATCAGCGCTGCCGCTGGCCAGGCCGACGGTCCGCGGCCGCCCCGCCGCTTGCCGGGGCCCGGCCTGCAGGGAAGAACGGTACACCCCCGAAAAAGGGTTCGATCGAAGACGAAGAGGGCGGGCATCGATGGTTTGGGAAATAGGCGTTATTGGACACTCGAGCAGATAAGGGCGAACAGTCTTAACATGATTGTTGTTGTTGTTGATGATTTGTTTTTGTTGTTGTTGTTGTTGGATTCACTTCTGGAGAATAATTATTGTTGATCCCCCCACCACTGCATATTGTTTGTTCTCAATCAAAGTGTGTCCCTCGACGCTCGCACCCTGCGTCTTGATGCTCAAACTGCGCCCTTGGCCCCCGGTTTACAACAACAACAACGGCTCCCGCTTGATAATTCCTACAATTTAGCCAGGACCCCCGCTCCCGCCCGAGACTTCCTTGCATGTTATTCATGAATCGCGCTCTCGCTTGGGACTTCCCTACGATTTATTCAGGAATCGCTCTCCCGGCGCTCTCGAGTCGCGCTCTCGCTGGAGACTTGCTTGCAATTTGCTGAAGAATCGCGCCGTTGCATTGGAATTTCTTGCAATTCACTCAAGCGCCGCGCTCCCGACACCCAGGCACCCAGGAGTCGCGCCCGTTGTGGCCCCATGTGCATGCCCTTCGTGGCCCCGCTGTCGCCGTTAGTGGCCCCCTCACTGTATCGTTGCCGACTGTGGCCCCGCATTATCTGTCCTTCGTGTCCCTGCTGTCGTTCTCTCTCGCTCTCGCTGTCGCTCGTCGTCGCTGTCGTCGTCGTCGTCGCCGTCGTCGTCGACGTCGTCGTCGTCGTCGTGGTCGATCCCATGTCCGTCCCTCATGGGGTCGGGTCGACGGTCCGCGGCCGCCCCGCCGATCAGCGCTGCCGCTGGCC